AACTCATCCGGCAGTCACTCCCAGAGCCCCCAGAACTCTGGCCCAAGGCTCTGACTCCTTCCCAGATCTTCTCGGCTTAGTGGCTGAAGACTGTCGCTGTCCCATCGCCTCGGAAGCCTCCTGGACCATCAAAGATGCTTTGGGTAACTCTTACAGTGAAGGGTAAGTCCGTCTCCTTCTTAATCAATACGGAGGCTACCCACTCCACATTACCTTCTTTTCAAAGACCTTTTTCCTTTGCCTCCATAACTGTTGTGGGTATTGATGGCCAGGCTTCTAAACCCCTTAAAACTCCCCAACTCTGGTGCCAACTTGGACAACATTCTTTTAAGCACTCCTTCTTAGTTATCCCCAACTGCCCAGCTCCCTTATTAGGTTGAGACATTTTAACTAAATAATCTGCTTCCCTGACTACTCCTGGGCTACAGCCACACCTCGTCGCTGCCTTTTTCCCCAGTTCAAAGCCTCCTTCAAATCCTCCCCTTGTATCCCCCCACCCTAATCCACAAGTATAGGACTCCTCTACTCTCTCCTTGGCGACCGATCATGCACCCCTTACCATCTCATTAAAACCTAATCACCCTTACCCCAATCAACACCAATATCCCATCCCGCAGCACGCTGTAAAAGGATTAAAGCCTGTTATCACTCACCTGTTACAGCAAGGCCTTTTAAAGCCTATAAACTCTCCTTACAATTCCCCTATTTTACCTGTCCGAAAACCAGACAAATCTTACATGTTAGTTCAGGATCTGCACCTTATCAACCAAATTGTCTTGCCTGTCCACCCCGTGGTGCCAAACCCATATACTCTCCTATCCTTAATACCTCCCTCCACAACCCATTATTCTGTTCTGGATCTCAAACATGCTTTATTTACTATTCCTTACACCCTTCATCCTAGCCTCTTTTCGCTTTCACTTGGACTGACCCTGACACCCATCAGGCTCAGCAAATTACCTGGGCTGTACTGCCACAAGACTTCACGGACAGCCCCATTACTTCAGTCAAGCCCAAATTTCTTCCTCATCTGTTACCTATCTCGGCATAATTCTTCATGAAAACACATGTGCTCTCCCTGCTGATTGTGTCCGGCTAATCTCCCAAACCCGAACCCCTTCTACAAAACAACAACTTTCCGTACTAGGCATGGTTAGGTACTTCCGCCTTTGGATACCTAGTTTTACCATCCTGACTAAACCATTATGTAAACTCACAAAAGCAAACCTAGCTGACCCCATAGATCCTAAATCCTTTCGCCACTCCTCTTTCCATTCCTTAAAAACAGCCCTGGCAGGGCACGGTGGCTCAAGCCTGTAATCCCAGCACTTTGGGAGGCCGAGACGGGCGGATCACGAGGTCAGGAGATCGAGACCATCCTGGTTAACACAGTGAAATCCCGTCTCTACTAAAAATACAAAAAAAAAATAAGCCGGGCGAGGTGGTGGGTGCCTGTAGTCCCAGCTGCTCGGGAGGCTGAGGCAGGAGAATTGCGCGAACCCGGGAGGCGGAGCTTGCAGTGAGAGGAGATCTGGCCACTGCACTCCAGCCTGGGCGACAGAGCCAGACTCCGTCTCAAAAATTAAAAAAAAAAAAAAATAAATAAAAATAAAAAAAAAAATAAATAAATAAATAAAAAATAAAAAAACAGCCCTAGAAGCTGCCCCCATGCTGGCTCTCGCTAACTCATCCCAACCCTTTTCATTACACACAGGCAAAGTACAGGGCTGTGCGGTCAAAATTCTTACACAAAAGCCGGGACTGTGCCCTGTAGCCTTTCTGTCCAAACAACTTGACCTTACTGTCTTAGGCTGGCCCCCACTCCCATGACTGTATCTCCCTGATCCACCTGACATTCACTGCATTTCCCAGTATTTCCTTCTTTCGTGTTCCTCACCCTGATGACACTTGGTTTACTGATGGCAGTTCCACCAGGCCTAATCGCCACACACTAGCAAAGGCCGCCTATGCTATAGTATCTTCCACATCTATCATTGAGGCTACTGCTCTGCCCCACTCCACTACCTCTCAGCAAGCCAAACTCATTGCCTTAACTCGGGCCCTCACTCTTGCAAATGGACTACGCGTCAATATTTATACTGACCCCATATCCTGCACCACCATGCTGTTTTATGTGCTGAAAGGTTTTCTCACTATGCAAGGGTCCTCCATCATTAATGCCTCTTTAATAAAAACTCTTCTCCAGGCCGCTTTACTTCCAAATGAAGCTGGAGTCATACACTGCAAGGGCCATCAAAAGGCATCAGATCCCATCACTCAGGGCAATGCTTATGCTGATAAGGTAGCTAAAAAAGCAGCTAGCGTTCCAACTTCTATCCTTCACGGCAGATTTTCTCCTTCTCACCTGGTCACTCCCACCTACTCCCCCACTGAAACTTCCACCTATCAATCTCTTCTCACACAAGGCAAATGGTTCTTGGACCAAGGAAAATATCTCATTCCAGCCTCACAGGCCCATTCTATTCTGTCGTCATTTCATAACCTCTTCCATGTAGGTTACAAGCCACTAGCCTACCTCTTAGAACCTCTCATTTCCTTTCCATCGTGGAAATCTATCCTCAAGGAAATCACTTCTCAGTGTTCCATCTGCTCTTCTACTACTCCTCAGGGATTATTCAGGCCCCCTCCCTTCCCTACATATCAAGCTCGGGGATCTGCCCCCACCCAGGACTGGCAAATTGACTTTACTCACATGCCTCAAGTCAGGAAACTAAAATACCTCTTGGTCTGGGTAGACACTTTCACTGGATGGATAGAGGCCTTTCCCACAGGGTCTGAGAAGGCCACCATGGCCATTTCTTCCCTTCTGTCAGACATAATTCCTCGGTTTGGCCTTCCCACCTCTATACAGTCTGATAATGGACCAGCCTTTATTAGTCAAATCACCCAAGCAGTTTCTCAGGCTCTTGGTATTTAGTGGCTCCTGGTTTTACCTCAAACTGCCACCCTTAAGTATCTCTTTAAGTGGATAGAAGATCTTCAGTGACAAAGTACACTCCAATACTTTCACCCTGATGAAGTCCTGTTCTTTACTTTTATACTTACTCTTATTCTCATTCCTGTTCTTATGCCACCCTCTACCTCTCCCCAGCTATCTCCACCACACTATCAATCTCACTCACTCTCTCCTAGCCATTTCTAATCCTTCTTTAACAAACAATTGCTGGTTTTGCAATTCTCTTTCCTCCAAATTCAACGAGGCCCTGACTTACTGCTAAAAAATAAAAAAGGGGGGGGGAGACTCTGTATATTTTTAAATGAAGAATGTTTTTACCTAAATCAATCTGGCCTGGTATATGACAACATAAAAAAATTCAAGGATAGAGCTCCAAAACTCACCAACCAAGCAAATAATTACACTGAACCCCCTTGGACACTGTAGTTGAATGTCCTGGGTACTCCCAGTTCTTAGTCCTTTAATACCTGTTTTTGTCTTTCTCTTATTTGGATGTTGTGTCTTTTGTTTAGTTTCTCAATTCATACAAAACTGCATCCAGGCCATCACCAATAATTCTATATGACAAATGCTCCTTCTAACAACCCCACAATATCATCCCTTACCCCAAAATCTTTCTTCAGTTGAATCTCTCCCACTGGAGGTTCCCGTGCCGCCCCTAATCCCGCTCAAAGCAACCCTGAGAAACATCGCCCATTATCTCTCCATACCATTTCCAAAAATTTTCGGCTCCCCAACACTTTACCACTATTTTGTTTTTTCTTATTAATATAAGAAGACAGGAATGTTAGGCCTCTGAGCCCAAGCTAAGACATCATATCCCCAGTGACCTGCCTGTATACATCCAGATGGCCTGAAGCAACTGAAGATCCACAAAAAAAGTGAAAATAGCCTTAACTGATGACATTCCACGATTGTGATTTATTTCTGCCCCAACCTAACTGATGAATGTACTTTGTAATAGTCCCCACCCTTAGGAAGGTTCTTTATAATCTTCCCCCATCCTTAAGAAGGTTCTTTGTAATTCTCCACACCCTTGAGAATGTACTTTGTGAGATCCATCCCCTACCCCCAAAACACTGCTCTTAGTTCCATCGCCTATCCCAAAACCTATAAGAACAAATGATAATCCCACTACCCTTTGCTGACTTCTTTTTTGGACTCAGCCCACCTGTACCCAGGTGAAATGAACAGCCATGTTGCTCACACAAAGCCTGTTTGGTGATCTCTTCACATGGACACATGAGACACTGGCCAGAGATATGCCAGTCCTGAGATAATCTCCCCTCCGGCCAGAGAAATGTCAGCCTCAAGATAACCTCCCCTCCAAACAGAGATATTCCAACCCCACAATAAACTACTCACCCACACAGAAACATTCCAAGCCTGTGATAAGCTCTCTCACCCTAAAACCAAGATATACTCTGTCTGTAAGAGAGAGGGCTCCTGACCGAAATTGGCCAGAAGCCCCTCTCAGGTTTACGCTCCAAAAATAAACCTGTCTTTGACTGTTGAGCTGCTTTTCATGTTTCTTTCCTTTTTTTTTTTTTTTTTTTTGGTGACATGATCTTGGTTCATTGCAACCTCTTCCTCCCTAGTTCAAGCAATTCTCCTGCCTCAGCCTCCCAAGTAGCTGGGACTACAGGTGCATGCCACCACGCCCAGCTAATTTTTGTATTTTTAGTAGAGACAGGGTTTCACCATGTTGGCCAGGATGGTCTCCATCTCTTGACCTCATGATCCGCCCACCTAGCTTCCCAAAGGGCTTGGATTACAGGCGTGAGCCACCATGCCTGGATCTTTCTTCTTTTTTTTTTAACTCATACAGATCTGGCAGCACAATGCCTAGAATATCACAGGCAGTCAAAGTAAGTTTATTGCTGTACATGAAGTACAAAATTTCCTCTAAAACCTAGAATTTAGTTGTCTGTAAATGTTCTTAAGTATCTGTAGGTCCATTACTCCTTACTTATTTACTGCTGCCTTCTGGAGAAGGAGAAATTTTGTGAAACTTCACACTTACTGTTTTCTATTATCTCGCCTATGAGGAAACCAAAAGTGCCTGAAAAGTAGCTGAGTAGGAGAAGTTTGATGTAGGCAGAAGTACTTCCGGAAAACACAAAGCTTATCAGGTACACAAAGGGAATGGCAGACCAGCCATACAGCGTGAAGATCAGCATAGTTTCCAGAATGTGGTAATCCGTGACATAAATATCTAATTTGCGGTATTTTATCACTCCCTGAAACACAAAGGGTACAGAGATAAAGGCAAAGTGAAGGGCAAGTGAAAAAAGAAACTAAGCCAAAACATTTAGAGAAGGAAATAGCAAGTCCTATCTTTATTTAGCATGGGACTAGTCATTAATTAAGTCAATCTGCCTCTTAAAACATCACTGGTCATTACAGAAATGCAAATCAAAACCACAGTGAGATACCATCTTATGCCAGTTAGAATGGTGATTATTAAAAAGTCAGGAAACAACAGATGCTGGTGAGGCTGTGGAGAAATAGGAATGCTTTTACACTGTTGGTGGGAGTGTAAACCAGTTCAACCACTGTGGAAGACAGTGTGGTGATTCCTCAAGGATCTAGAACCAGAAATACCATTTGATCCAGCAATCCCATTACTGGGTATATACTTAAAGGATTATAAATCATTCTGCTATAAAGACACATGCACATATATGTTTATTGCAGCACTATTTACAATAGCAAAGACTTGGAACCAACCCAAATGCCCATCGATGACAGACTGGATAAAGAAAATGTGGCACATACACACCATGGAATACTATGCAGCCATAAAAAGGAATGAGTTGATGAGCTTTGCAAGGACATGGATGAAGCTGGAAGTCATCATTCTCAGCAGACTAACACAGGAACCGAAAACTAAATACCACATGCTCTCGCTCATAAGTGGGAGTTGAACAATGAGAATGCATGGACATGTGGAGGGGAACATCACACACTGGGGCCTGTCAGAGGATAGGGAGCAAGGGGAGGGAGAGTATTAGGACAAATACCTAATGCATGCAGGGCTTAAAACCTGGATGACAGGTTGATAGGTGCAGCAAACCACCATGGCACATGTATACCTATGTAACAAAACTGCATGTTCTGCACATGTATCCCAGAACTTAAAGTAGAATAATCAACAAAACAAAAACTTCAGCCCTGGGGATGGGCATTGTGGCTCATGCCTGTAATCCCAGCATTTTGGGAGGCTAAGGCTCAGGAGGTGGGGACTGCAGTGTGTTGTGATTGTGCCAGTGCACTCCAGCCTGGGTGACAGAGTGAGACCTGTCTCAAAAAAACAAAACAAAACAAAACAAAAAATCAAAACCTTATCCCACGAGGATGAAGTAAGTTATTTTTACCTCTTCATCAGAGGGCATTCCAGTGAGCAGAGCCACTATACTTTCCTTTATTATTTTCTTTTCTACTTGGAACAGTTATTGCAATAATACTGGCAAGTTTCCCAGAAAGTAGATTATTTCTCCAAAGACACACTTTCTCCAAAGATTTTTTTCTTTGACTACATAACTTACCTATCACTCTACCCACTGCTATGCACCTTTAAACTGGGCCACCAGGTTCTATTCTACTTCCCCACTTCTCCCTCACATTCACCAAAGCCACTAAACCAGACAGTGGAACACAAAATTAGAATGGATGGTGGTGGTGGAGAGGAACCTGTAGCTGTGAAAAGAAATAAATTTCTGGAAATTTATATCTCATTAGTTAATAGATATCACTTCTCCACAAATGACAAGATGGTCCCTTTGGGCAATTACATGATTATGTAGCAAGACAAGCAAGAAGTAAATAGTAAGATTAAGCTAAGAATAATCATTATATTGACTGATGTTCTTGGTGGTGGTAGCAAAAATAAGAGAAGATTTGCGGGAAATAGATGAATCCAGTCCCTGAAGCTATGTAAACCTAAAAGAATAAATAAAATGAAGAAATCAAATAAAAGTTAGCGTGACCTAGGAATTTCTGTGTTCAAAGTCTTATGATCTTTCAATGTCACAAATCATAACCTATTTCAAAGAAAAGCTGAATTTCGGGCTGGGTGCCGTGACTCCTGCCTGTAATCCTGGCACTTTGGGAGGCCAAGGCAGGCGGATCATGAGGTCAGGAGATCAAGACCATTGTGGCTAACACAGTGAAACCCTGTCTCTACAAAAAATACAAAAAAAAAATAATAATAATAATAATAAAAAAATAAAAAATTAGCTAGGCGTGGTGGCAGGCGACTGTAGTCCCAGCTACTCGGGAGGCTGAGGCAGGAGAATGGCGGGAACCCAGGAGGCGGAGCTTGCAGTGAGCCGAGATTGCACCACTGCACACCAGCCTGGGTGACAGAGCAAGACTCTGTCTCAAACAAAAACAAAAACAAAAACAAAAACAAAAAAAACGCTGAATTCCTTGTTGGATAAGTAAGTAATATAGTTGTTCGTGGACAAGAGACTCATGCATTGTGAATATTTAGATTCTACTCAACTTAATCTACAAGTGAAAATGCAAACAAAATTTTCAAGTAAATATTTTAGCTTCTTTATTATGAAATATACCACATATTCAGAAAAGTATATATAACATAAATGAATTATCATAATGAATTATCACAAAGCAATTCCCTGGGAAACTACTACAATGCCAATACCCACAGAAGCCTATCAGAAACTCCTCCAATCCCTGTAAAAGTAACCACTATTCCTGGCACTATTAATCTGCTTTCTGTGTCTATGAATTTACCTATTTTGGACATTTTAAGTAAATGGAATCATGCAATATATGGCCTTTTGTCCCTAGCTTATTTCAGTTAGCATAATTTTTTAAGGTTCATGCAAGCTGTAGCAGGTATCAGCATTTCATTCTTGATTATGGTTTAAGTAATGTTCCATTGTATTGTATTGATATACCATATTTTATTTATCCATTTATGATATTTGGGACTTTCATTTTCAAGTATTAAAAAAATTGATGTTTGCAGTTCTCTTGGGTATAAATCTAGGAATGTAATTGCTGAATCATATGGTAATTGTATGTTTAATTTTTGAAGAACCACAAAACTGTTTTACATGACAGTTGAAACATTTTACATTTCTTCTTTTGTTATCCTAATGATTTTTGTTGTAAAGTCTGCTTTGAATATTATTAAAGCTATACTAGTTATCTTTTAAAGAAGCTCTTTCATCATTTTATTTTCAAATTATTTGTGTCAATGAATCTAAAGTGAGTCTCTTGTAGGTATCAGACAGTTAGATTATGTTTTTGGAATCATTCTACTAATGCCTACTTTTAATTCGAGTTTAATCCATTTATATTTAATGTAATTACCTGTAAGTTTTTCTGTCATTTGGTTATGTATTACATCATTATATTTTTCCATTCATTTATTCTGCCATTTGTGTTGAATAGATATTTTTGAGTGTGCCATTTAATTCTATTGTCTTTTAAGACTCCATGTAGTTGGGTTGTTATATTAGTGGTTGGAAATTACAATAAACATCCAATTCATAACAATACAATTTAGATTAATACCAACTTAATTTCAATATAATACAAATATTTTGTACCTATATAGCTAACCTCTCTGCCTTTTATGCTATTATTATCACAAATTACATCTTTATACATTGTGTGTCCATCATGATAGATTTATAACTATTGCTTTACACAGATGTCTTTTAAATGAAAAAATATAAGAGCTATAAACAAAAATATATTAATACTGCATTTTACATTTATCTATGTTTTTACTTGTCTGGTATCCTTTATTTCTTCATTTGGATTTGAGTTACTGTCAAGTGTCCTTTCATTTCAGACTGAAGAATTCTCTTCAGAATTTCTTGTAGGGCATGACTGCTAGCAACAGTCTATTAGTTTTTTTTTTTTTAATTTGGAAATGTATAATTACTCCTTATTTTCTTTTAATGTAAAAAGAACATTAAACATAAGATTTACATTCTTAATACATTTTTAAGCGTAAAATATATGATTGTTAACTGTAAGTACAATCTTTTACTACAAATCTCTAAGGCTTATTTATCTTGTTTGAGTGAAACTTTATGCTCACCGATTAGTAACTTTCCATTATCCTATTCTCCAAGCCCCTAGCAGCCACCATTCAACTATTAGATTTTATACATTTGACTATTTTAGATATATCATGTAAGTGGAATCATGAAATATTTGACTTTCTGTGATTGCTTTATTTTACTTAGCATAATGTCCTCAAGATTCATCCATATTGTAGCAAATGTCAGAGTCATCTTATTTTTTTTTTTTTTTTGTTCTTTTTTTTGAGATGGAGTCTCATTCTGTCACCCATGTTGGAGTGCAAGGGCGCGATCTCGGCTCACTGCAACTTCCACCTCCTGGGTTCAAGCGCTTCTCCTGCCTCAGTTTCCCAAGTAGTTGGAACTACAGGCATGTGCCACCACACCCAGCTAATTTTTGTATTTTTTAGTAGAGACAGGGTTTCACTAGATGTTGGCCAGGCTGGTCTCAAACTCCTGACCTCAGGTGATCCACCCACCTTGGCCTTCCAAAATGCTGGGATTATAGGCGTGAGCCACTGTGCCCAGCCAGAATCATCTTATTTTTAAAGTCTGAATAATATTCCATTGTATGTATATACCACATTTTCTTTATCCATTCATCTGCTGATGAATGTTTAGGCTTTTTTTTTTTTTTTTTTTTTTTTTTTTCACATTTTGGCTATTATGAATAGTGTTCAGTGAATTAGGAGTGATGGTAGGTCTCTGAGATCCTGATTTGAACTCTTTTTGATAAATAATCAGAAATAGGATTGTCTGATAATATGGTAGTTCTATTTTTAATATTCTGAGGAACCACCACATTGTTTTTCATAGCAGGGGCACCATTTTGCATTCCCACCAACAGTTGGCAAGAGTTCCAATTTGTACAAACTTTACCAATACTAGTTATCTTTTTATAAAATCTTTTTTTTAAAAAAGTCATCGTAATAGGTGTGAGGTGATTATCTCATGGTTTTGACTTGCATTTCCCTGATGACTAGGAAAATTGAGCAAATGTTCATATACCTGTTGAACATTTATATCTTCTCCTGAGAAAAATCTATTCAATTCCTTTGCCCATTTTAAAATTAGGTTATTTTTTGCTATTGAGTTGTAAGAGTTCCTTATATATTTTGGATATTAACCCCTTTTAAGAGGTATGATTTATAAATATTTCCTCCCATTCTGTAGATTTTTCTCTTGACTCTACTGATTGTTTCCTTTACTATGCAGAAGCTTTTTAGTTTGATGTAATCCCAATTTTCTATTTTTGCTTTTATTGCCCGTGCTTTTGGGGTCATAAAAAAGAATGTTTCCCCTATGTTTTCTTCTAGTAGCTTTATAGCTTCAGGACTTACATTTAAGTCTTCATTATATTTTAAGTTGATATCTGTATGTGGTGTGAAATAAGGGTCTAAATGGATTCTTTTGCATGTGGATATCCAGATTTCCCAACACAATGTATTGAAGAGACTGTTCTTTCCCCATTGTGTGTTCTTGTCACCTTTGTAAAAAATTAACTGATGGTAAATGCATGAGTTTATTTCTGTACTCTATTTTTTTCCATTAGTCTACATTTCTATTTTTATGCAAAGAAGGTACTTTTTAAACTAAGAATATGGTAAAATTTCTACCACCAGACTTTTGCAATGTGTTTTCCAAGATAATAAGCAAAGATGGTTTATTGACAAGAGCTAGATTTCACAACCATTAGAATAGTAATTTTCCAAGAGGTACAAAAGGAAAACAAACCCTCAAGGAACTTCATTTCACACTCACCATTACTAAGCAGCAGGAGGCAAAGAAGATGATGAAATCACACAATAGGGCAGAAAGCCAGTACACAATGACAGAGACACCACTCACAAACTGGATGTGCTTCGCCTTAGTGGTTCTCTCAGTCACCGTCAGGAGACAAAAACCATTGATCAAAAGAGCCATGCCAAATTGTAAATTTATGGCCAATTTTTGTCCACTTTGAAGCCTACAAAAGAAGACATATCAGAAAATCAACACAGCAGAAAATACAGATTTCAATCAATAGCTATTTTTATCATATAAATGTAATCAGATAAAGTGGAAATAATGTATTTAAAGAGTAAAATTGAATTCAAATGAAAAGAATAACATACTCTTCATTTTCTTCAATATCAGGGAGTGGCTGAGGTTTGTTGGAGACTGTTAAGGAAGCATTGGCACCAGAAAGTGACTTGAAAAGAATGTTGTCTAACACTGCCAGGGCCACAGATGGTGAATGATATGCTTCATTGTTGAACAGAGCAGTAAGCATTACCATATTTGCCTCCGACTCAATAGAAAGTGCAATGATACATAAACGAATACAATCTTTTGTTTCCGTCAAGTACTTCAGTAGGTCACCTAGGATGAGAAAACAATATTGGTCAGTGTGTCCACAAAACAGATAACCTATAATATAGGCCAGAGAAGAGGAACAGATAATTTTACTTCTCGTCACCTTCAATTTTCCCATAATGACTACTTCAAACATTTGCGGTTCCCCTCCAGCACTTTACTTCATCATTACATTCCAAGCTCTCTCACTTTATAGCCTATGTCCTAAACTACTACTTCACTGAGAAAACATAGACTCTCTCAACTTACTTATCTATCTTATACTGATTTATAAGTGGTTTCATTTATAGCTTTGCTAATCTTACAGCAGACAAAACCTTCCTCTGGAAAGCACAGAAGCTAACTAAAAACATTTAAAAATATCACCTCATTAAGGATATTAGACATCTAGGAAAACTATCAACATTTGGGAAGAATGGAAATGCACTGAGATGAGTCCAACATTCTACATTCTTTTTTTCTTTGAGACCTGTATAGATTTGTAAATGGTAGCGGTACCTTAGTAAACCCTCAGGCTCTCTGTGGGGCTCAAGAAGGGTAATACCCTCACAGAAATAGTGAGTAAGAAATAAACCAATTCTTTCTTTAAGAGATCGGGTCTTACTGGGTTTCCCAGGCTGGAGTGCAGTGGGAAATATTCACAGGCATGATAATAGTGCACTACAGCCTCAAATTCCTAGGCTCGTGTGACCCTCCCATGTAAGTCTCCCAAGCAGCGGGGACTACAGACCCTTGCCACCATGCCCAGCTTAATAGACACATTCTTATAAAAATTTAAACCCAGCCTCAAATTACTTCAATCCATGATTGGATTTAGATCTTTCCTTAATCTTACTGCCTGCCAGAAGTAAAACTGAATCTCCTCTGGAGAAGATAATCTCATGCAGAATCTTCATAATTTTCATACACAGTATCTGGCATTGAATTAAGAAATTATCAATTCCACTAAAAAAGAGAACCAAGAGAAAGCACAGACAATAGAAACAGATTCATTGATGACCCAGGTAGCAAAGATAGAGAATTTACCAGAGAACTGGAGTCCATAGAAATAATCAAATGTTTATGTCAGAATTAAAAAACACATTAATTACAATTAAGAAGTTAATATATATCTATAGTGGGTTGAGCACAAATAAAGTGTAGGTCAGGGCACTGGAAGACAAGTGATTAGAATACTCAGACAAAAGCACAGTGGATGGAAAACAAGAGAGAAGACACACATCACCGATGTCAGGAATGAAACAGAGAAAATCACTACCCATCATGCAGACATAAAAAGGATGATAAAGGAATTCTATGGTTAACTCTACACAAATGTCACGGCTAATTTTATGTATCAACTTGACTGGGTTGAGGGATACCCAAGTAGCTGGTAAGGCATTATTTCTGGGCATGTCTGTGAGGGTGTTTCCAGACAAGATTAGCATTTGAATCAGTAGACTGACTAAAGCGCCTCACCAATGTGAGTGGCCATCACCCAATCCATTGAGGGACCAAATAGAACAAAAGGGTGAAAAAAGGGCAACTTTTTTCTCTTCATGAAGGAAAATGCACCACCTATTTTCTCCTGCCCTTACACATTAGCACTCCTGATTCTCAGACTTTTGGACTCTGGGACTTACACCAGTAGCCACCTTGGTTCCCAGGCCTTTGGCCTCAGACTGAATTACTGGCTTCCTGGGTATACAGCTTGCATACAGCATATTATGAGACTTCTTGGCCTCTATAATCACATGAGCCAATTCCTCTAATAAATATTTTCTTTATACATTTATCTCTCTCTCTCTCTGTCTCTGTCTCTCTCTCTCTCTATATACACACACACACACACACACACACATATGTATCCTGCAACTTTGATGAACTCATTTATTAGTTCTAGAAATTTTTCTTGTTTGTTCTTTGGGATTCTCTATGTAGACAATCACATCATCTGCAAATAAGAGCAATTTTCTTTCTTTGTGATCTGTATGCCTTTTGTTTCCCATATATATATATATCCTGTTGGTTCTGCTTTTCTAAAGAACTCTAATACAACACATAGATTTGATGACTTAGATGAAAGGGACCACTTCTTCAAAACATACAACTACGACAACTCAATATGAAGTAGATCATTGAATAGCAATAATTATTAAGAAAATGTAATTCTCAACTAAAAATTCCATAAAAAAGAAGTCTCCAGGCCCCAATATTTTCACTGAAGAATCATATCAAATGCTTAAAGAAGAATAAGCACTAATTAGACACAACATATTTTAGGAAACAGAATCAGGAACATTTCTCAATTTAGTTTATAATGAAACCACACCAAGACAGTACAACAAAAGTAAACTACAGATAAATATCCTTTATGAATATAGATGCAAAACTCCTTAATAAAATATTAGACAACAGAATTCAACAATATATACAAAGAATTATGCACCATGACCAACTGGAATCTATTCCAGGGATACAAGGCTGGTTCAATATTTGAATATCAATTAATGTCACCCTCCATATTAATAGACTAACAAGGAAAACTTACATAATTATACAAATCTGTGCAGAAATAAGCACTCATGATTTTAAAAAAAAAACTGAGCAAAATAGGAGTAGAGCAGAACTTCTTTAACTTTATATAAAGCATCTAAAAAATTCCTTACCGCTAACATTATACTTAGTGGAGAAAGACTGTATACCTTTTTTCCTAACATTGGAACAAAGAAAAACAATCAGTCTCACTACTCTGATTCAATATAGTGATGGAAGTTCTATCCAGTGTAATAAAGTATAAATGGGAACCAAAAGGCATACAGATCACAAAGAAAGAAAATTGCTCTTATTTGCAGATAATATGATTGACTACATAGAGAATCCCAAGAAACCAACAAGAAAAATTTCTAGAACTAATAAATGAGTTCATCAAAGTTGCGGGATACATGATAACCATATAAGAATAAAAAATAATTATATGCTAGAATAAACATCTGGATACCAAAATTAAAAGGGTAATACCATTTATATTAACTGAAAAATGAAATATTTAGGCATAAATCAACAACCTATGTGCAGGACTTGTATGCTGAAAACTACAAGCGCTGATGAAAGAAATAAAAGTTCTAAATCAATAAAGGGACATCCTACATTCATGGATTCAAAGACTATACTCAGTAAAGATGTCAATTTTCTTCAATTTACTATACAGATTTAATCCAATTTCTGGCAAATTTCCAAGTTTTTATGCAGGTATAGACAAATTTATTTCAAAATGTATATGGAGGAGCAAAGGAACTAAAATAGCCAAAACAACTTTTAAAAACAACAATAAAGTGGGAGGAACCAGTCTACCAGATTTCAAGTGTGCCATTGGTTGAAGGAATAGATACATAGATTATTGGAATAGAATAGAAAACCCCAAAATAGACCCAAACATGCCCAACTCTTTTTTGATAAAGGTGCAAAATAATTAAATGAATATCATCATTCAGTAATGGAGCAATTGCTGCCGGAGCAATTGGAGATGCACAGGCACAAAAATTAACCTTGACTCAGATATCACACCTTATGCTAAAATTAAGTCAAAGTAGATAATAAATATAAAATGTAAAGCTATAAAACTTTTAGAAAACTGTAAATCTTTTTAGGAGAAAATCTTCAAGATTTAGGGCTAGGTGGAGAGTTCTTAGACCTAACATCAAAAGCATGATCAATAAAAGAAAAAAATACATTAAACTTTATAAAAATTAAGAAATTTTGCCCTGAAAAAAAAATTGTTAGGGTGATGATAATCTACAGCATGAGAGAAAACAATTTTAAAAACTGTTTAAAACTCTATAGTAAAAAACATCAAAAATTAAACTAAAAAATAGGGAAAATTGATAAACACACATTTCACTGGAGATGATGTTCAAATGGAAAATAAGCACATGAAAAGATGTAGAAATGCAAGTCAGGGAAAGGTAAGTTGAAACTACAGTGATATCCCACTACTCACTTATCACAACGGCCAAAACAAAAATAGTGACAACACCAAATGCTGGTGAATATGCAGAGAAACTGGATCACTCATACATTGCTGAGGGAAATGTAAAATGACACAGTCACTCTGGAAAGCAACTAGGTAGTTTTTTAGAAAACTAAACATGCAACAGCCCTGTTGCTAGAAAAAAATTAAAAAGAAGCTATGCCCAGTGTTCCCCTTACTTGTTGCAAGTAATAAAAATCCCCATGTTGAGTTTCCTAGACAGCAAAAGACAATTGTCTGTCAACAGACAATCCACAGAACAGGAGAAAATTTTTGCAAACTATGCATCCAACAAAGATCTAATATCCAGCACCTACAAAGAATTTAAACAAATTTACAAGAAAAAAACAAACTCATAAAAAAGAGGGCCAACGACATGAACAGAGACTTTGCAAAAGACGACATACACATGGCCAATATTCATATAAAGAAAAGCTCAACATCACTGATCATTAGAGAAATGCAAATCAAAACCACAATGAGTTACCATCTCACACCAGTCAGAAGAGCTATTATTATTATAATTAGCTTTTTATTTTATTTATTCATTTGTTTATTTTTATTTTTTAAGTTTGGGGGTATCTGTGCAGGATGTGCAGGTTTGTTAAATAGGTAAATGTGTGCCATGGTGGTTTGCTGCACCTATCAACCCATCACCGAGGTATTAAGCTCCGCATGCATTAGCTGTTTTTCCTAATGCTCTTTCCCCGCATCCTCCGACAGGCCCCAGTGCGTGTTTTTCCCCTCCCTGTGTCCATGTATTGTTCAGCTCCCACTTATAAGTGAGAACATGAGGTGTTTTCTGTTCCTGTACTAGTTTGCTGAGGATAATGGCTTCCAGCTTCATCCATCTCCTTGCAAAGGACATTTCTTTTTATAGCTACATAGTATTCCATGGTATATATGTACCACATTTTCCTTATCCAATCTATCATTGATGGGCATTTGGGTAGATTCCACGTCTACACGTACATGTGCAAGTATCTTTACAACAGAATGATTTATATTCCTTTGGATATATACCCAGTAATGGAATTGTAGGGTCCAATGGTATTTCCAGTTCTGAATCTTTGAGGAATCACCACACTGTCTTCCACAATGGTTGAACGAATTTACATTCCCACCAACAGTGTAAAAGTGTTCCTATTTCTCTACAACCTCACCAGCATCTGTTGTTTCTTGACTTTTAAGAATAGCTATCATTTAAAAAGTAAAAAACAAACAAATAAACAAAAAACAAAAAACAAAACACACATATGCTGGTGAGGTTGCAGAGAAAAAGGAATGCTTATACACTGTTGGTGGGAGTGTAAATTAGTTCAGTTACTGTGGAAGACAGTGTGGTGATTCCTCAGACTTAAAGACAGAAATATAGTTAGACCCAGCAATCCCATTACTGGGTGTATACCCAAAAGAATATACATAATTCTATTATAAAGACACATGCATGTGTATGTTCATTGCAATACTATTCACAATAGCAATGACATGGAGTCAACCCAAATGCCATCAATAATAGACCGGATAAAGAAAATGTGGTACATGTACACCGTGCAATACTATGCAGCCATAAAAAAGAATGAGGTCATGCCCTTTGCAGGGACATGCATGGAGCTGGAGGCCATCATTCTTAGCAAACTAACACGGGAACAGAAAACCAAATACCACATGTTCTCACTTATAAGTTGGAGCTAAATGAGGAGAATACATGGACACATAGAGGGGAACAACATATACTGGGGCCTACAGGAGGGTGGAAGGTTGGAGGAGGGAGAGAATCAGGAAAAATAACTAATGGATACTAGGCTTAATATCTGGGTGATGAAGTAATCTGTACAACCCCCATGATACAAGTTTACCTGTGTAACAAGGTAAACTTGTATCTTTACTTGTTGTCTCTTTACATAAGATTTACTGACCTCTGCTGTAATATGTTAAATAAAACATTTACAATTTGGCTTTAGATAAAGTAAAACACACAAAAATCTTAGTTCATGTACCCATGAACTTAAAAGTTAAAACAAAATAAATAAATTTAAAAATCTGAAAAAATGACGGCATTCTTTGACTTGAATATAACTGTCTCTAAGACATTTGTGACTAACAGGGGAAGGACAGAGTGGGTAGCCAAACACTATAGTTAAGACCTTCTTTGGAAGTAACACAAGAAGATCGTCTCTGAGAGCAGTTCTTTTTTTTTTTCCTCAGTGAGCTTTACCTTGTACTTCCTGAGGTCTTTGGTTGTCAGACTCGAGCATACTCTTAAGGCGTTCTGAGAGATCTGCAGTCAAATTAGAAGCCCCAGAAATAGAAAAGGGCACAATGGTTTGACCATATTGACTCAACTCCATTTGCCTAATCATTTCATGCTGTGAAGAATTTTTACTAGAACTTAAGAGAAAGGCAAGGGAGCCTATGAGTCCCAGTATCTGTAACAAAAGCAGTTTCCAGTTGCGCCAGTTGAACATCACCCTCTTTACGAACATGGCACAGAACTGCTGGCTGTAGAGAGAACACTAAGGAAAAATGAGAAAAAGATAACATTACAATAGGTATAGACTTAAACATGCCATTCATGTTGAACTCCATTAAGACGAATGCTTTGAAATTCTGTGGTATGAACACATACAAGTTTTATATTACAAACACATAAAGTTTATAGAAGTAAGTATTTGGAATAGAACCTAAGCGTAGTATGACAGGACACAATTGTATGATCAATCTTTTCTTTGTATGAGGCAGGGGTCAACAAACTATGGCCCTATGGCCTGTTTTTATAAACAAAGTTTTATTGGAACACAGCAATGCCCATTTATTTCTGTATTTTCATGGTTGTTTTTGGGCTATAATGACAGACTTGAGTAATTGTGAAAGACACCAGATGGCCTGCTAAGCCTTCAATATTTGTTGTCTCTTTACATAAGGTTTACTGACCTCTGCTGTAATATATTAAATAAAATGTTTACAGTTTGGCTTTAGATATAACACACAAAAATCTTAGAAGGATGATTTTCCTCAGACTCCTGATAGCCAAGAAAACTAGGGTGCTTTATAGAAGGAGTAGATGATTATAAGAAGAATGAAGAAAATATTTGGCAACTCAGAATTCCACTGTGAAGGATCATACTAATTAGGGAACCATCCCTTACACAGTAACAATTCCCAATAGGAAAACTTAGAATACTTAAAATATTGTGCATATTGAATTATTAAAAATCAGGCTCACTAGTACCCTTAACTTAGCCTCAATAAACCAACACATTTTGTGGTTACTGATTTGAAAAGAAATGAATTCTAAAACAGAAAAAAAGGATGGAGGAATAACAATGGTGAAAGCAAACCATTGCTATCTTATCTAAAACCCATCATTTCTGCATTAGAAAACTGATTAGGAAGTGGCACAGACTGCTTGCCATCTGATCGACGAAGTGTACCTCTTGCACTCCAACCATATCTACACCAGGTTTCCTGGTAAAGGTGCTTACCCCAGTATTAAAGTTAATAGTAGGGCTTTCATTCAGGGTGGGAGGATCTGCTCCCTCAACATTTCTTGACATGTTCTTATTCTGGTTCCTGTTGGAGGCTCGGCCCATTTGGGAGGAAGACTTCATAGCTTCGATATCTGTTTGTGACTCTTCTGTGTAACCGACCCTACATAAAAAAGCACAAAGTATTTCATTTCAATCTTATTCCAAAGTATCCTGTTTGAAGAATGTGAGTTGCAGCCCCCAACTCAGAAGGCTCCTTGGTGTGCTCATTGCCTGGCAGAAATCATTACTTGGAAGCAACATGGTACTTGTGGTAGAGCAATGGTTCCCAAACATGCCCCGTTGCCCTTAAATTTCTATTGGATGAAACCTGAAAGTCTGGAGAACTTACAAAGGGAACTAAGACATGTTCTTTTCCCTCCAGAGATTTTCTTTTCCCTATACATTGTCACTCACTTGAAGAAGACTTCTTCCATGGTAGTGACAGAGGCACCAACGCTAGAAATGCCCAGGTTTTCTTGTTCTTGTTCCAGAGCAGTAAACAGAGCTTCAAAACTAGGAGTAGAAGAGGAACAGAAAAAGCTAGCACCAAACCAGATGATTTTCATATTTATGTCTTTTTCTTCTAAGATAATTTCCTCTCAGCAGTAGGGAAAATGTAGATCATTTTACATTTCAATGCTTACTATAAGTTTATGCCTCTGGTAAATCAGAAAGGTGGGACAAATGGAGAGAAAGAGACTAGCAAATTGCTACAGCAATTTATTCTCTGAATTTTGTGCAGTGCACACATATCAATTTCATACTTAAAGTAAAAGAGAAAAAGGAAATATGGTGAATCCACTCTACTTAGTTCTTGGATACCCATACTGTTGGTCTTCTAAGACAAGGATCAGGAGACTGTATATATGTTAATATCTCTAGTCATGAGTTAACTTATCATGAACATGAGCTAACTTATCACGTACATATATGCTATGGTTCCTATTACTCAGTAAATATTAAAAAAAGAAAGAAAATCATCCACAATTTAAAAAATACTAAAAAATAGAAAATGGAGTAAGTGCAGTAAAACTTAAAGACTTAGAGGGAATTATGTGATTAAATGTCCAGAAAAGTCTATGGAAGTTGAGCCAGATACAATGTGGAGACATCAAGTCTTTTAAAGAATGGTCTTCCTGGGAAGACATTACAGAATGTTGTATTCAAACGATTATCTTTTTCAGAAACCTCCAGTTCTCAAATCTATCTCGAACCTTCAGTTCTCAAATCTATCTCTATCCATTTAGTTGAACCTGTCTTTGCACACACTCAGTGTTAGGGGAATTAAAAATTTCCTTTTAAAAAATCTATCAAACTTGCCTCCATATTCAAGCTTACATTCTATCTAGTTTTGCACATTAGTTCCAATCTTACACCTTGAGGTTATTTAATTCATCTGTGTGACAGCCAGTCTTTGACATATTTTAAGCCCATTTTTCCTACACTACAATTCTTCATTTCCAATATATGACTTCTCTACTGGGATTCACTTATATTTTCTTCTTTTTCATTTTTAAATTTGGGCTGAGTATGGTGGCTCATGCCTGTAATATTAGCACTTTGGGAGGCCAAAGTGGAAGGATTGCTTGAAGCCAGGAGGTTGAGACCAGCCTATGCAAAATATAGTGAGACCTCATCTCTTAAAAAAAAAAAGTCAGCTGGGCATGGTGGTACATGCCTGTGGTTCCAGCTACTCATGAAGCTGAGGTGGGAGGATCACTTGAGCCTGGGAGGTAAAGGCTGCAGTGAGCTGTGATTGTACCACTGCACTTCAGCCTGGGTGACAGAGCAAGAATTTGTCTCAAAACAAAAAAAAAAAAAAAAAAAAAATTAACGTGTGCGCATTGTACAAAATTCAGAAAATAAGTATATAAAGAAAATAAAAATTATCATAACACCATCCATCAAAGATAACCACTGTTAATACACTATTATTTTGGCAAAATTATTTTTGGTTCTTTTGGCTTTATGCAATATATGACGAAGTTAGAATTAAATTGTGTACTGCTTTAAATGTATTAATATAGCACAAAGTCTTGATAACCTAAATATTCATCACCAGCTTAATGAACAAATAAATTACAGTATGAATATATGACAGAATAAGATATAATTAAAATGTAGATTTCTCCACAGTTGTTTCATAAATGAAGAAAGCCTACAATTCCTAACAGAAAGTTGGCTGAGAAATCCTGGTGAGTAAACAAGGCAAGATTCTGAACATTAGTATGGTAGAATCCCATTTCTAAGAAAACTATTATTATGAGCCAGGCACGGTGGCTCATGCCTGTAATCCCAGCACTTTGGGAGGCCAAGGCAGGTGGATCACCTGAGGCCAGGAGTTTGAGACTAGACTGGCCAACATGGCGAAGCCCCGTCTCTACCAAAAATACAAAATTAGCTGGGTGTGGTGGCATGCACCTGTAATCCCAGCTACTCAGGAAGTTGAGGCAGGAGAATCGCTTGAACCTGGGAGGCAGAGGTTGCAGTGAACCGAGATCGCACCACTGCACTCCAGCCTGGGCAATAGAGTGAGACTTCATCTCAAGAAAAAAAAAATAATAAAAGATAAAAAACTATTACTATGATTGTATACATGTCAATATATATATGTGGTGTTCTTAAAAAATATGCATCAAAATAAAAACAACACAAAACAAAATAAACACACAAAAATAAAAATACACATCAAACTCTTCTCAGGGATTACTTCTATGGACAGTAATTATGAGAGACTTTCACTTTCTAATTCATATACTCCAGAAATAAATAAGTTCTTTAATTTTTATCATCATGCAACCATAAGTAGATTAGTCAACTCTAGGTTCCTCAGTAATAAAGCAAACAGTAAGCAAAACAGAATAAAGAAATAAATAACAAAACAAATTATTTCATGAGTCAGTTGTATTATAAAGTCCTATTATGAATCTGACCTGTTTTTCTAATTATATAAGTTTATAAACCTTTTTTCTAATTATATGTTTTATATGCTATATATAATACCGATATTTAATACATATGGATATTATACAGATAATATATATTATCTTTTGGGGGAAATAGAGAAAAACATAAAAACGAAAAGAATCTATCTCAAGTATATCCCTGTTAAATACTTGATGTACTTCTTTCCATCACTACATATATTTTTAAATTTAGATTTTTTTTTCTTCTTTTCTGTGGTGCAACATACGTAAAATGCACTGTGTGGCAAATGAATTTTTCCATATGAGTATACCTGGATAACATCCAGATAAGACAGAGAACAGTTCCAGCGTCTCAGAAGGGTATTCCAGGATGCCCCTTTCTGGTTGACAACCCCTTTATCTGCACACACAGACACACATACATATGTGCATATACACACAACATATGGTAACAATTGTATTAGAATTCTAGAACCAAAGATTCGTTTTGCTTTTTCTTGAGTTTTATATAAACGGCATCTTACAGCATATGCTTTTTGGCCCAACGTAATGTCTGTGAGATTTCCTCATGTTGTTGCATATACCACTAGTTCATTTTTTTTTTTTTTTTTTTTTTTTTTTGGTGACAGAATCTCGCTTTGTTGCCAGGTTGTAGTGCAGTGGTGTTATCTTGGTTCACTGCACCCTCCCCCTGCCGGGTTCAAGCGATTCTCCTGCCTCAGCCTCCCGAGTAGGTGGGACTACAGGCACAGGCTACCACGCCCAGCTAAGTTTTGTATTTCCAGTAGAGACGGAGTTTCACCATGTTGGCCAGGATGGTCTCTATCTCTTGACCTCATGATCTCCCTGCCTCGGCCTCCCCAAGTGCTGAGATTACAGGTGTGAGCCACCGCGCCCGGCCATAGTTCATTCTTTTTTATTGTTGAGTGGTATTTATCCATTTCCTGCTAAAGGATGTTCTGGTTGTTTTTGGTTTGGGGCTAGTATGAATAAAGTGACTGTGAATATAAACATTATTTTACATGTATTTTAATGGACTTGTCTCTCCTAGGTATATACTAGGAGTGTGATTACTAGGTCATAGGGTAAGCACATACTGAGCTTACCAAAAATGACCAAATATTTTACAAAGCAGTTTCACCATTTTACACTTCTACCAGCGATGAGAGCCGGTTGCCATGTTCACGTTATAGTTCGTCTTCTTAGCTTTAGCCATTCTAGGGGGTGTGTAGTGGTAATGTAATGCTTGCTTATTCTTCATTAATTTTGCATAGTTCTGGGAAGAATTTTTGACATAGTCTTCTCTTTCATCAGTTCTGCTATTTTCTGCCATAATTATTTGGTCAGTTTTTTTAATTACCCAATCAAGAATTTATCTCACTTTTCCTCTTCAAAACTGCTGGGTCTAGATTCATAGCATCTTCTTTAATTTGATCAAGGCTACAAAGCAGAGAGTTTCAGAAGTTTTCTATTTTTGCAGTACAATAATGTTCAGAATTGGCATTTTTAAATTTAGTATCTTGTCCACAATTCATTCTTTTCCCCCATCTTTATAAAAGGAGGTTGATATTTCTCCAGGACTGACATACGATTATATACAATTTCAGGAGGAAATTATGTCTAAGACTTAGGTGTGATTCTCCTTGATAAAGTGATTTTTCTTCTGAATTCTCATTCTAGGTATTGTTTTTTTCTTTTCTTCTTTTTTTGCTGAAAATCAACTTTGGTATCATTGGTGGTATCAATTTGCGAAGCTTAAAATTAGGATGAGATTGGCATGTCTCCAGTTTTCTAACATCATGGTATAGATGGAAAAGCAAAAAGTTTTGGAGCTAAATGGGCCCGTGTTCAATTTCAGCCTGTGTTCAATTTCAGCCTGTATCAGTAATAACTATTTGATTTAATCTTTCCATTTGATCTACTATTATGATTTGATTGAATCTTTCTGACCTTAAGAGTCATCATATCAGCCGGGCGCAGTGGCTCAAGCCTGTAATCCCAGCACTTTGGGAGGCTGAGACGGGCGGATCACAAGGTCAGGAGATCGAGACCATCCTGGCTAACACGGTGAAACCCCGTCTCTACTAAAAAATACAAAAAGCTAGCTGGGCGAGGTGGTGGGCGCCTGTAGTCCCAGCTACTGGGGAGGCTGAGGCAGGAGAATGGCGTGAACCCGGGAGGCGGAGCTTGCAGTGAGCTGAGATCCGGCCACTGCACTCCAGCCCGGGTGACAGAGCGAGACTCCGTCTCAAAAAAAAAAAAAAAAAAAAGAGTCATCATATCATTTGTAAAAAGGTAAAAATAAGTATGCTTTATATTCTCTTCATTTGTCACAATGTTACTTCACTTTAGCATTTATTCCTTTACAATCCCTTCATGGCGATCTGAGTGGCTCGTGTGTACATCTTCATTTGGAGACTGTAATTTATTTGCAGCTGTGAGGAACACTCTGAATATCTCGTCTTCCTTTTTGCTGTGCATCCCTTTTTAATTAAAAGATCATTCTCTTTGATCAACAATATTGAATTTAAAGAGGAGTTGAGAAATTTTGCTTCCTTGATGACAGCATTGAAGCTTCTTTTCCTTGACATGCTTGGGAAAGATCTAGCTTCCGATTTTTCTTATTCTTACTGCCAGATCCCAACCTCAAAATTCCATTTTTAAAATACAAATGGAGGCAAAATTAGAAGAAATCAAGGCGCATAAAAAGAGGCATTGCCAAAGCAGAACTCATGCCATAAAATTTCATCTGGATCTATCATGTACACGTTTAATTTCCAGTCTATTTTTTCCTGATTAACCTGCTGGTCCTTATCTCAAATACTAGCTTTGTTTCTGTTCCACAACATAGATTTTTGTAACCCTCACATATCTTTCCAACTGTGCTGCTTAGGAGCCAACCTTTGCTCAAGATACCCCAAACTCTTAAAAAAGAGTATAATGATATTAACTACTTTCAAAACTTTCCTTGAATAACACGTTGAGGGGGTTAGACTTCCTAGTAATATTCTGTATCAGCCTGTCTTATTTGTTCTTGTTTACTACACTTTGGGTATTGCTCTATTTTCTTTAGATTTGGGATTTGGTGGTCAGAATTTCATATTGAAGTTTCCAAACATTCTTGAGGATCATTTCTTTTCAAAAGATCATGCTATGGAATCTTGCTTTTCTGTATATCTTCCAATTTTGTATGTGCCTGAATCTATCAAGTTCTTTTCCTCCTTTTCTGCCACGAAGTCTACCATGGTGTAAGGGAAACTCCCGAAGTTGTCTGACATTTTTTTTTTTTTTAAATCTTCAACCAACATTTTCTTGATGATCAGAATTAGGCTTACAGTAGCAGTTTCTTTCTCATTTCCTCCATCTTTCTAGGAAGTTTAATCATTGGCAAGAAAAGTCAGGAATGTGTCAGGAGACCTGTAGCAACACATGTCTATATATATATATATACACACACACCGTAATCATGTCTGTATTACAAGTCTACACTTGAATTATTCCCTTCACTATGAATCTTAAACAAACCTGTATCCAAAATATATTATGCATTTCCTCCTTCTAGCTTGCAGGAGTTTCACAAAATGATATGTAACTTGTTTCTTTCTCCTCCTGTGGTCACCCACTGTTTTTATTTTCTGTACATTTCTACCTTCTAGATCTAGAATTTTAAGCATATAAATATTCCCTGATATGCAGCACTATTCTGATGTGTCTCATATCTATCATTCCGCTATTACATTCTAAGCTTAGGTTTCATTCTACCAAGTCTCAGCATTGTTTTACAAGTTACGACCTTGTTTTAAAATTTCTTCTTCTGGACGGGTGCGTTGGCTCACACCTGTAATCTCAGCACTTTGGGAGGCTGAGGTGGGTGGATCATGAGGCCAGGAGTTCGAGATCAGCCTGGCCAACATGGTGAAACCCCATCTCTACTACTACTACTACTACAAAAAAAAAAAAAAAAAAAAAAAAAAAAAAGCCGGGTGTGGTGGCATGCACCTGTAATCCCGGCTACTTGGGAGGCTGAGGCAGGAGAATTGCTTGAAATTGGAAGGTGGAGGTTGCAGTGAGCCAAGATTGTGCCACTGCACTCCAGCCTGGGCAACAAGAGCAAAACTCCATCTCAAAATATATACATATATGTAATTTTTTCTTTTTTTGTTTTTTTGAGACAATGTCTCACTCTGTCACCCAGGCTGGAGTGCAGTGGCGTGATCTAAGCTCACTGCAGCCTCAATTTCCGGGGCTCAAGTGATCTGCCCGCTTTGGACTCCCAAAGTGCTAAGATTACTGGTGTGACTCACCGGGCCCAGTTTGTTTTAAAATTTCCAGATGACTTTCCTTATGAGATATATTCAATGAATTGAAATACAGGTATATGTGATGAAAAATTACTACTTTTCTGTTCCATAGTATTTATTCAGGCAAATAAATACATATTAGAACAATGTCTGGTAGAAACTAAGTGCTCAATTGCTGTTAGGTATCAAAATTTTAGCTGGGGTAGAAATCACTATTTAACCATCATTTCATTCTTTTCATATTATGCTCTGAAATAACTAGATGTATAGGTATTTCTTTTTCTTGTATTTTCTTCATCCCAATTCTTTTAGCTTAAAACTCTCCCCATAGGGGAACCTCACACCGGGGCCTGTGGGGCCTGTGGGGGTGTGGGGGGCTAAGGGAGAGATAACATTGGGAGAAATACCTAATGTAGGTGATGGGTTGATGGGTGAAGCAAAACCACAATGGCACATGTATACCTATGTGATAAACCTGCACGTTCTGCATATGTACCCCAGAACTTAAAGTGTAATAATAATAATAAAAAAAAATTCTCCCTGTTAGAACCACATGTTCTCACTCATAAGTGGGAGTTGAACAATGAGAACACTTGGACACAGGGAGGGGAACATCATACACCGGGGCCTGTTAGGGGGTCGGGGGCTGGGGGAGGGATAGCGTTAGGAGAAATACCTAATGTAGATGACGGGTTGATGGGTGCAGCAAACCAACATGGCACATGTATACATATGTAACAAACCTGCACGTTCTGCGTATATATCCCAGAACTTAAAGTATATATATAAAAAACAACTCTCCCTGTTAGAGAAAACGTCATCCTGAGCAAATATATACATCCCTAAATTCATGATTTTCATTTTATTTTGTACTGTGTGTGTCATTCTATATCTACAGCCCAGAAATCTACAATCAGTTCTTCACCTTCTAGAGTATCTTCCTATTTCTTTCTTCTGAGTGCAAACGATTAGTAAGATGATATGGTCTCACCATATCATCTGCTTCCACGTTCTCACATTTCCTGTCTTAGAATCTCAACATGGTGTTTCTGTTCTTGTCTGAGAATGCCGTTTGTGGCCATACAAATTAGGATAGGCAGATAGTGTGGCAAGCTCAAGCAAGCTCAAGCAAGCTCTTTATCTGTGTCTCTCCTTCAGATGGATTCTGTAGCTCCTGGTGGATCATGACTACAAACCTGGCCTAAGGCACCAACATAAAACCTGCTTCCCACCTTGGTTGAATGAGTCAACTGCCTTGTATCACCAGGGAGACATAGCTAGAATATTATTTCCAGTTTTTCACTGTATTTAATTCTTCTACTCCAACTTATGACTAGGGTCTTGGTTCTACTCCACTGCCTGATTAGCTGCCCCAAGCTGCTGGTTCAAGAACTTCCCAATTTTCTTTTCTTTCTTTCTTTTTTATTTTTTTTGAGACAGAGTTTTGCTCTTGTCACCTAGATTGGAGCATAATGGCGCAATCTTGGCTCACTGCAACCTCCGCCTCCCGGGTTCAAGCAATTATCCCACCTCAGCCTCCCGAATAGCTGGGATTACAGGCACTTGCCACCATGCCTGTCTAATTTCTGTATTTTTAGTAGAGATGGAGTTTCACCATGTTGGCCAGGCTGGTCTCAAATTCCTGACCTCAGGTGATCTGCCTGCCTTGGCCTCCCAAAGTGCTGGGTCTACAGGTGTGAGCTACCACAGCAGGCTGAACTTCCCGATTTTCTGAGTGAACAGAACTCAAATGGCACAGTTCTTCTTCCTTTACTGTTTCTTTTATGACACATTCCTGTTGTTCTGGAAAAAAAAAATTAAAGTCCCCCATCTCCCATATTCTTTGTGAATATAACAACTGGCTTGAATCTAGAGAATACCAAAGCAACTACGTAACTGTATGTGGCAAGAAGCTAAAAATATCATACTCTGAAAGTTACCAATGAATACTCTTAGTTTCTTTTTCTTTTTTTTAGGATAGTTATCACAGGAAAAGTTATTATTCTTTGACTCCCTTTCATGAGTAACTTGGCTAACTGGTGAATCCAAGCTGCCTATTTCCTCTCGGTTCATGTCATCCTGACTCTAAGAGCCATGTTTAATTAAGCCATCCATTTTTTTCCTCTCATTATCTTAATATTTCCCTTCACTCAACTCACCAGGAGCACCAAAAACATTCATCAGTTATCCCAATTAACACCAGAAAACTATAGCCATTAGGTGCATCTCTCTGTTCAGTGCAAATGGCAGCTGTAACAGGATTTTTGTCTTGTTAAATAAACTCTACTTGTTAAGCCTGAAGAAACTAGGAAAAGAAACAATGATTTCTGGCTCTCTAAGAATTACTCATTTAGCATTCTCTGGATCCATACCTGTGTGCATAATTTTTGGGCAGAATAAAAGATAACTCAGTTCCAACATCATTCTCCAAAGTGGCTGTCGGTATATAATAATGAATTAATTTTGAGACTTCTTCAACATTACAGTCAGGTGTCTTCACCATGACAATGCGGTATCCCACACCTGAGAAAAATCCATGTAGAAGAACAAATAAAACGATTTTGTATTTCCCACACTTGTGAGATCACACGTGACTTTCATTACCTGTGTAAGCTAGAAGATAGGGCATGTCACAGATCATTAAATCACAACTCTAAGGAGTCTAATAAGTACTTCTTTTATAATTTCATTATTTCTCTTAGGGACTGATAGTGATCTGGATTATATAACCAGATAGAGCAGAGATAGGATGAAAAGCCTCGTTATCTGGCTTCTCATCCTATTGACACTGAAATCTGAGAGGACAAGATTAATATGCATTAAAGAGATATTTGTTGGTTGTCTACTACATGCCAGGTAGTAAATAAGTCAGATAAAAATCCTTTCAGAAACTGAAGAAATTGGCCAGGCATGGTGGCTTATGCCTATAATCCCAGCACTTTGGGAGGCAGAGGCGGGTGGATCACCTGAGGTCAGGAGTTGAAGACTAGACTGGCCAACATGGCAAAATTCTGTCTCTACTACACACAAAAATCAACACAGAATTCTATAAATGGCAAAAATATATTTTAAAAGTAGAGACAAACATAAATGAGATAATTCATTACCCACAAAAGTATGCTACAAGAAATGTCAAAGGAAGGGCTTTAGGCATAAGAAACAGTATATTTTAACTGAATGAAAATAAAAATGCAACCTACTAAAATTTGTGGGGTGTTGCTAACACAGGACTTAGGAAGAAAGGTATAGCTTTAGATCCTATATTTGAAAGAAGAAAGGTTAAGAGTCAATGATTTAATGTTCCATCTTAATAGCTGGGCATGGTGGCGTGGTGGCGTGGTGGCGTGGTGGCATGGTGGCATGTGCCTGTAACCCTAGCTACTCGGGAGGCTGCGGCAAAAGAATGACTTGAACCCATCAGGCAGAGGTTGCAGTAAGCAGAGATCACGCCACTGCACTCCAGCCTGGGTGAGAGAATGAGACCCTCTCATAAATAATAATAATAATAATATTCCATCTTAAAAAGGTAGAAAATGAGTGAATGAATCCAAACTAAGAAACAAAAGTGAAATAATAAAGATGAACAATGAAATAAGTTAAATAAAAAACAGAAAAATGATAAAAATAATAAAGCTAAAAATTATTCTTATTCATAGGATGTATTATTAACAAGAATGATCAAGAAAAAAAAGAGAAAAACACAAATAATCAGTGTCCAAAATGAAAGTCAAGACATTAACATACGTAATACAAACATTTAAAGGATAATTAAGGGGATATTAGTTATCTAAAAAAATTAAAGTTATAAAAAAGTTCACAAAAAATAATGGAAAATCTAAATAGTCCTATATTTTTCAAAGAAAGACACACACACACACACACACAAACACACACACACACACACACACACACACATATATATATATATATATTTTTTTTTTTTTTTTTTTTTTCACTCTGTCGCCCAGGCTGGAGTGCAGTGGCATGATGTTGGCTCACTGCAACTTCCACCTCACGGATTCAAGTGATTCTCCTGCCTCAGCCTCCTGAGTAGCTGGGAATACAGGCATGCACCACCATGCCCAGCTAATTTTTATATTTTTAGTAGATACCGGGTTTCACCATGTTGGCCAGGCTGGTCTCAAACCTCTGAGATCGCTGGTCTCAAACTCCTGAGATCAAGTGATCTGCCTGCCTCAGCCTCCCAAAGTGCTGGATTACAGGTGTAAGCCGCTGTACCTGGCCAAGAAATAGACTTTTAATTAGTAAAACTCTCCCAAATAGTAATCTTGAGACCCAGATGACACTTTACTGGTTAATTCTATCCAACACTTAAGAAAAAAATAGTAGAGCCTTATATAAATGCTTACAGATGACAAAAGAGAAGAAACACTTCTGAATTCATTTTGTGAGGCCAACATAAACCTGATATCAAAACTAGACAGAGATTTCAAGAAAAGAAAATTATAGACATTATAGACCAAAGTCCCTGATGAACTTAATATCTACAAATCAAATTCTGCAATTTATAAGTAATACATAATGCCTAATAGGATTTATCCCAGGAAAAAAAGCTTGGCTTTATCTTTCAAACATAAATGAATGTAAATCAGAATACAAACAAAATTAAAGAGAAAAAATATGAATATTCCACTAGATCCAAAAAGAAAAACGAAAAAAAAGCATTGATGAAATTCAACGTCTACCACAGATTTTTAAAAACCTCCTAGCAATCTCCAGGAAATAAGAGAGAACACAAACAAATGGAAGAACATTCCATCCTTGTTGACAGGAAGAATCAATATTGTGAAAATGGCCATACTGCTCAAAGTAATTTATAGATTCAATGCTATTCCCATTAAACTACCATTGACGTTCTTCAGAGAATTAGAAAAAGCTACTTTAAAATTTATATGAAGCCAAAAACGAGCCTGTATAGTTAAGACAATCCTAAGCAAAAAGAACAAAGCTGGAGGCATCATGCTACCTGACTTCAAATTATACTACAAGGCTACAGTAACCAAAACAGCATGGTACTGATACAAAAACAGACACATAGACCAATGGAATAGAAGAGATCTTAGAAGTAAGACTGCACATCTACAACCATCTAATCTTCAGCAAACCTGACAAAAACAAGCAAAGGGTAAAGGATCTCCTTATAATAAATGTGCTGAGAAAACTGGCTAGTCATATGCAGAAAATTGAAACTGGACCCCTTCCTTACACCTTATACAAAAATTAACTCAAGATGGATTAAAGACTTAAATGTAAAACCTAAAACTTTTATAAAAACTATAGAAGAAAATCTCAGCAATACCATTCAGGACATAGGCACAGGCAAAGGTTTGATGACAAAAACATCAAAATCAATTGCAACAAAAGCAAAAATTGACAAACGGTATCTAATTAAACTAAAGAGCTTCTACACAGCAAAAGGAACTATCATCAGAGTGAACAGATAACCTACAGAATGGGAGAAAATTTTTGTAATCTATCCATCTGACAAAGGTCTAATATCAGAAAGTAGGCAAAGGACATGAACAGACACTTCTCAAAAGAAGACATTTATGCAGCCAATAAACATATGAAAAAAAGCTCAATGTCACTGATCATTAGGGAAATGCAAATCAAAACCACAATGAGATACCATCTCACACCAATCAGAATGGCCATTATTAAAAAGTCAAGAAACAGATGCTGGCAAGGCTGTGGAGAAATAGGAATGCTTTTACACTGTTGGTGGGAATGTAAATTAGTGCTACCATTTTGGAAGACAGTGTGGCACTTCCTCAAGTCCCATTACTGGGTGTGTACCCAAAGGATTATAAATCATTCTATTATAAAGACACATGCATGTACACGTTCATTGCAGCACCATTCACAATAGCAAATACATGGAATCAACCCAAATGCCCATCAGTGATAGATTGGATAAAGAAAATGTGGTGCATATATACCATGGAATACTATATAGCCATAAAAAGGAATGAGATTATATCATTTGCAGAGACATGGTTGGAGCTGGAAGCCATTATCCTCAGTGAACACACACAGGAACAGAAAACCACACACCCCATGTTGTTACTTAAAAGTGGGAGCTGAACAATGAGAACACATGGACACAGGGAGAGGAACAACACACACTGGGGCCTGTCATGGGGGACAGGAGAAGGGAGAGCATTAGGATAAATAGCTAATGCATGTGGGGCTTAATACCTAGGTGATGGGGTGATAGATGCAGCAAACCACCATGGCACACATTTCCTATGTAACAAACCTGCACATCCTGCACATGTATTCTAGAACTTAAAATAAAACTTTAAAAAAAAAAGAAAGAAAAAAACCTCCTAGCAAAAAAGGAAAATTCATTAAACTGGTAACAGGCTTCCAAGTAATCCTTCAGGAAATCTCATACTTAATGATGAACATTATACATTTCCCCTCTAAGATAAGGAACAAGTCAAGTCTGTCTACTTTTATCAATCCTATTCAAGAATGTGCTGTAAGTCCCATATAAGACAATAAGTCAAAAGAAAAAGATAAAAGGCATAAAGATGAGAAAGAAGCAAAATCTTCTGATTCACAAGTAATAGGATTGTGCATAGAATCTACAAAAGTATCATCAGACCTAATGTATGAATAAACAAGTTTACAAGACACAAGGTCAATATAAAATTATTGTATATATAAATACTACAAGAGAAACATTGGAAAATGACATTAAATACTACCATTTGCATAAATATAAAAATGAAATACTTTGGAATACATCTAATGAAAGACCTTGACAATGAACAAAATATAGCCAAAAATGGCCTAAACAAAACCTAAATAAACCAATAAATAATATGAAGCTCATATACTGGAAGACTCAATATTGAAGATGACCATTCTTCCCAAAATGATACATAGCTTCAAAGAGATCCCAATCAATATTCAACCAGAGTTTTTGTAGAATTTAACAAAATGGCTCTAAGATCTATAGGGAAATATAAAGGGCCTATAATAGCTCAAGCAATTTTGGAAAACAAGAAAAAAGTTGACAGACTTATGTTACCTATTTTCAGAACTTACTATAAAGATCCAGTATTCATGACTGTTGTATTTGTAAAAGAATAGACCTATGGATGAATGAAACAATAGAAAAACCAAAAGTAGACCCACTTATAGATAGTCAGCTGATTTTTATCAAAGGTGCCAAAGCAATTCGCTAGAAAAAGGAATGTGTTTCAGTAAATGGTTCTGGATACTCACAGGGGGAAAAAAATCAACATCAACACCATTTGCAAAAGTCAACTTGAAATAAGTCATAAACCTTTAGAAGCTAGAACTGTAAAGTATCAAGAAGAAAATATAGGAGATCTCTGCAACCTTTATGTAGGCAAAGATATCCTAGAAAGGACACAAAAATCTTCAAAAAAATTAATAAATGAGCCTTAAAATTAAACATTTACACTCATCAAAAGATACTATTAAGATAAGTAGGCAAGGAACCCATTTGGATAAATATTCACAATCCATATATCTGACAAAGAACTCACATGAAGAATATGTGAAAGAACTACAAATGTTCAATCAAAAAGATAACCAACTTGTAATAGTGGGCAGAAGACTTAAACACTTCACAAAAGAATTTATGCAAATAGCCAACTTATACATGAAAATGAACTCAATATAATTATTCTTCAGGGAAATAAAAATTAAAAACACCGAGATAACTGTTTCACACCCACCAGAATGACTAAAACCCAAAAGGCAAACCAAAATGTTGGTGTGGGTATGGAGTAAGTGGAATTCTCAAACACGCTGAGTGGTATAAAATATTACAAGCACTTTGAAGAACCTTTCAAAACATCACACACATAATTTATGACCAAGAACCTCACCAGTAAGTACCAAAATATTCCACTACTAAGTATTTTTATCCAAGATGAATTTTTAAGCAAGAGAGATCTTTAAGTTCACAAGATGGATTTTTAACCAAGAAAGATCTTTAAATTCATAGCACATTTGCTTATGATATTTGAATTCATACATCATATGATAGAAATGACCTAAAACAACATAAAAATCTATGAAGATTTGAAGTTATGTACAATTGATCCATGCAACAATATAGATTAATCTCAAATGTATTGTGCTGAAGAAACCAGGAACAAAATTATAATATATAATTCATTTATATGACATTCAACAACAGGCAAAACTAATGTATGGTAATAAAATCAGAAAGTAATTGCCTCTGGGAGAGGTGAATTGATGAAAAAGGCTCAAAAAAAACTTTCTAGAATCATGGAACTATTTCGTGTCAAAATTATATTTAAAGAGTCAAAGACGACTGATGTATAGGTAATTTTGAATAATGGCCTTAAAAAGGTAAGGAAGCTATTAGGACACATTTGGTATTTTACAGTTTAGAAAAATTTTTCATATTGTAATAAATTATTCCACTCATATAGAAGCAATTTAGTACTTCTTTGAAAAACAAGAAACAGCAGATGTTTGATTCACTACGTTTCCCTTATAATCCATCAACCTGTCTCTCTGTCTGTCTGTCTATCTATCTAACTCTTTGAAAGCACACATGCATTTGGGCAAATTAAAATTTAAGTAGAAGTCATGTGGAAAAACTGAACAGAAATTTTGGATAAAACAATAAATACAAAAGAGGGAAATAATTTTGAAAAAAAGGAGTATTATTTCAAAGAGCTCATAGTTGAATACTAATTAATAGAACAGAAGGAATCACTGAAGTTTTGGGTACCTAGAAAAAAACAATAAAACATATGTTTGAAGAATGTTATGAAGGCATCAATATCCTGAGAATAATCAAGGAGAGACAGACCATATATCTTTTTCAGGAAAATTGAAGAGCCACAGCACCGCACGGATCCCTTGACCATGATGGCTATGCGGTCACCCAGAACATCAGCTTCATCCATGTAGTGGGTGGTCAGTAGGATGGTACGATCAAGTTTAAAATGCTGCAGGAGATCCCAGGTGACCCTCCTTGAGACTGGGTCCATGCCAGACGTTGGCTCATCAAGTATCACTACCTGAAGACCAGGAAAACAAATCCATGACCATTGTTAAATATTTTATACTGGTACCACTATTGTCTTACCAGTCATGGAGCTTACTCTGATTTTGCTTTTTCACTTGTTCAACTAGGCTAAGATAATAAGTTTAGAGGCTAAGTGCAGTGGCTCACACCTGTAATCTCAGCACTTTGGGAGGCCAAAGTGGAGGATCACTTGAGCCCAAAAGTTAGAGCAACATAGTGAGACCCTATCTCTACAAAAAACTTAAAAAATCAGTAAAAAGTTAGCTGGGTGTGGTGGCATGTGGCTGTAGTTCCAGCTACCTGGGAGGCTGAGCAGGGAAGATTGCTTGAGTTAGGTAGGTTAAGGCTGCTTTAAGCCATGATTGTGCCACTGCACTCCAGCCTGGGTGACAGAGCAAGACCCTGTCTCAAAAAAAAGTTTAGAAAAAACTGAATTAGGAATGCTGGAATAATTTCAAACCTATGGCCATTTTATACCAACGAGATCGACAATGTCAATCCCATCTGATTTTCATTTAGGAGGTTATATTTAGAACGTTAGCTCCATAGCAGTTCTCAAATTTGTGTCAGCTGATTCTTTTAGAGTAGCTGCAGAATGCAGTGGGAATCCATATTTGGCTTTGTTTGTTTGTTTGTTTACCTTGGAGCCCCCTATAAATGCTATAATGATGGAGAGTTTGCGCTTCATTCCTCCACTCAGTGACTTTGACAATTTGTTACGCTTTTCTAGCAGGTTAAAAGTAGCCAGCATGCGGTCAATTTCAGTAGGCGTCATCTTTCCATGTACTCCTTTTATCTAGAAAAAGGAGCCAGAGTTTACTTGGTGCTTCCAACTTTACTCTTAGAAACATATTACACCAGCTTTTCTCTTACGTCATTCATGTAGTAATTTATTCCCTTTGCTTTTCTTTATGTTTAAAGAATTCATTAAAATCAATTTCGAACTTTGTAAGAATAAGAATATTCGTAGTAGCTAATCTACCTGAAGCACATGAATAGACTGGGGGAAAAGGAAACTTTCTTTTGCTTACCACAGAATAGAAATGAAGGTGTTCTGATACCGTCAAGTAATTAAACAACAGGTTCTGCTGGGGACACAAGCCCAGCGATTTCCTAATCTGGACCATCTGCTTTGAGATACTGTATCCATTAATATAGGCATTTCCACTTGTGGGAGGATAGAGACCTGGAATCAAGTAGAAAACATAACAGAAACTTAGTTTTCATAAGGGAACGTGGAAACAAACTGCTCATTAGCATATCAACTTTGAAATTTACACAGAGATGACTCATTAGCATTAGCAATATTTCACACAGAAGAAAATGCTACAAAACACTGACAGTTATTTTTGAGGTGATGAACTTAGAAGTAATTTATTTTGTAATTTCCTATTTAACTGTATGTTCTATGTTTCAATGTGTATGAATAAGTGCAAATCATTTGAGTAATAAAAACATGAGTGAGTGTCATATTACAACATGCCAGCATTGCCCATCAGCCATTTGACATTTATGAATTCTGTTTTAAGCTGTGCATTGCCTTAAGTTAAGGTGTATATGGTAAGCCCCAGGGCAACTACTAAGAAAATAACTCAAAACTATATAATGAGAAAAATTATTAAAGGAATTAAAATGTTACACACTAGAAACTATTCACTTACTGCAGGCCGGGCGCAGTGGCTCATACCTGTAATCTCAATACTTTGGGAGGCCGAGGTGGGTGGATCGCTTGAGCTCAGGAGTTTGAGACCAGCCTGGGAAACATGGCGAAACCCTGTGTCTATTAAAAATACACAAATCAGCTGGGCATGGTGGTGCGTGCCTGTAATCATGAGAATTGCTTGAACCTGGGAGGCGGAGGTTGCAGTGAGCTGAGATTGCGCCACTACATTCCAGCCTGGCAACAGAGCGAGACTCCATCTCAAAAAAAAAAAAAAAAAAAGAAAAAAAAAGTGTATTCTGCTGAGTGGAATTTTCTATAAATGTCAATTAGATTGTTTTGAGTAACAGTGCTGTTAAGTTTTTCAGTAACTTTAATAATTTCTGTTTACTGGTTCTATCAATTGCCAGAAGAGTGGTGTTGAAGTCTCCAACTATAATTGCAAATGTGTCTATTTCTTTTTTCAAGTCTATCAGTTTTTGCTTTGAGCATTTTGATGCTCTGTTCTTTGACTGCATTCATATTAAGAATAGTTATGTTTTCTTGGTAGATTGACCTTTTTATCATTATGTAATGTCCTCTTTCCTCTTCCCCAAAATAAATACTAATTTTAAATTTTATAACAATTATTTGCAAACTTGAAAATAAAGGAGATTATTAAAGTATGTATCACAGAAATCACTAAACTGTGAACATCAAGAGGATACACAAAAGTCTCATTGCTTTATCTACAGTTTTTTTTTTTAACAGAGTGGAACACCTACCTGAGAGAATGGACAGAGTGGTGGATTTTCCTGCCCCATTATGTCCTAGAAGAACAGTGATCTGCCCCTCATATAAATTCAAAGACAAGTCATTTACAGCTACTTTGGTAGTGTTGTGCGTTTGGAATACCTATGGGAAAAATCCCACAAATACTAACTTTATCACAATCACATTGAAAGAACAAGCACTCATACCAGCTATCAAAGACACAATACATCATCAGTTATGAGAAGAAAAATCAAAGTGGAATGAAACTATGAAAAGAAATATTTGAAGGCATAACACAAGGTTTAGAATGTCACAGTAGATATACAAACATTCCCTGAGCAATCTTATTCATTACTGCTTTCTTTTCTATTTTACTTTATGTGTATAAATTTAAGGGGTACAGGCGCCATTTTGTTACACAGATATATGGTATAGTGGTGAGGTCTGGGCTTTTAGTGTAACCATGACCCAAATAATAAACACTGCTTCAAGTGATTTTTCATCCTTCATGCATCTCCCACAATCCCACCCTTCTGAGTCTCCAATGTCTGTCATTCCAGACTGTATGTCCATGTATACATATTTAGCTGTCACTAATAAGTGGGAACACGCAGAATTTGACTTTCTGTTGCTGGGTTGTTTCACTTAAGAGAGTGGTCTCCAGTTTCATCCATGTTACTGCAAAATACATGATTTCATTTTTTTTATGGCTGAGTAGTATTCCATCGTGTGTACATACCACAATTATTATTATTTTTAATTTTTAAAATTGTTTTTTGAGACAGAGTTTCACTCTTATTGCACAGGCTAGAGTGCAGTGGCACGATCTTGGCTCATAGCAACCTCCACCTCCTGGGTTCAAGAGATTCTCCTGCCTCAGCCTCCCGAGTAGCTGGGATTACAGGCATGCACCACCGTGCCCGGCTAATTTTGTATTTTTAGTAGAGACGAGGTTTCACCATGTTAGTCAGGCTGGTCTCGAACTCCTGACCTCAGGTGATCCACCCGCCTTGGCCTCCCAAAGTGCTGGGATTACAGGTGTGAGCCACTGTGCCCGGCTTATACCATAATTATTTCTTTATCCAATCATCTGTTGATCCAATGGATGACTGCTTTGTTTCAGTTTCCATCTTGAACTTATAATGCCACAATCTTCTTCAGTTAATGTCTTTGGCCCAATTTAGAGAACTGTCAATTGAAAATCACACATGGATATTTATCTCAAATTTTTTATGTGTAGACTAGTAGTGCTTCTGCTTAATACACAAGAAGGTGGAAAAAGAATCACTCCCAGTCTAGCAACAAGTAGAAGCTAAAAAATCTATGAAATTATAACTTTTCTTGAACCCATCTTAGAGGTAAGGTTTCCAGGCAACCAACCAGCCTGAAATTTAAACTTTCAAGGAGAGATGGCATATTAATATTTGCTTGTCTGGAGCAGACATGGGTACCTAGGAGCCAACTTGAGTACTTATACAAGCTAGTAAGAAGATTTAGGTTAGATTTTTTTTTTTTTTAAATGAGGTGAAAACAGTCTAAGAAACACAATACTTAAATGGAAGAGTTGGGATTCAAGCCCATATCATTAAGAATTAAAGCATATTTTCCTTCTAACACAACCTATAGATGGTGAATAAAGGCAAACATCTTGTGTAATAGAAAAAAATACTATTGGGCTGGGTGTGGTGGTTCATGCCTGTAATCCCAGCACTTTAGGAGACCGAGGCAGGTGGCTCACGAGGTCAGGAGATCGAGACCATCCTGGCCAACATGGTGAAACCCCGTCTCTACTAAAAATACAAAAATTAGCCAAGTGTGGTGGCGGGCACTTGTAGTCCCAGCTACTCAGGAGGCTGAGGCACGAGAATTGCTTGAACCCAGGAGGCGGAGGTTAGAGTGAGCTGAGATCACACCACTGCACTCCAGCCTGGCAACAGTGAGACTCTGTCTCAAGAAAACAAAAAAACAACAAAAAAAAACCTATTTAAGTTTTTAAAAATCCCAAATGGTGGTAGGCATTTTCTCCCTAGGTGTCTTATACTGTCTTCTCCACAGACTTAAGCATCAGGCCTGCAACTGCTTATTTGAAATCTCTACTTGGATGAATGTCTGAAGTTCCTATATCCAAAAGTAAGCTCTTAATTTCCCAAACTTTCATTTAAAAACCAACAATAAACTAATCAAACTGTGACTTTTCCCCAGTATCTCCAATATTCATAACTGGTCAACTAACTCCCCATTTCCTCAAGCCACTAAACCAACAGCCACATTAGTTTCTTCCTTTTCCCTCAATCCCACATCTAACCTATACATAAGTCTTCAGTTATAACCTTAAAACACATTTTGCATCTTTTTTTTTTTTTTTTTTTGACAGAGTCTCACTCTGTCACCTAGGCTGGAATGCAGTGGTGCGGTCTCGGTTCACTGCAACTCCACCTCCCAGGTTCAAACAATTTTCCTGCCTTAGCCTCCTGAGATTACGGGTACCTGCCACCACACCCGGTTAATTTTTGTAATTTTAGTATAGACGGGGTTTCACCATGTTGACCAGGCTGATCTCGAACTCCTGACCTCAAGTGATCACCCGCCTCGGCCTCCCAAAGTGCTGGGATGACAGGTGTAAGCTACCATACCTGGCCAGTTTTGAATCTTTATACTGCGATCTCCAGTGCCACCAGCCTAGTCCATGGTGCCATCATATCCTACCTGAGCTACTATCAAAACCTCCAATTTGTCTTCTTGTTTCCACTCACCGTCCTCACAACAGCCAGAATGGTCCTGCCTGTCCAATTGTACACTGGCACCACTTCTGATTCAAAACATAATCAACATGTGAAGCGCTTTCCAACCCAAGGGTTTTGATTTTTTTCTATTTGAATTTTTTGTTCCTAGTTTTTTGTTTTTTTTTTTTTTCTTCCTGGAGAGGGGGATGGAGTCTTGCTCTGTCATCTGGGCTGGAGTGCAGTGGCGTGATCTTGGCTCGCTGTAACCTCCGCCCCGCCGGGTTCAAGCAATTCTCCTGCCTCAGTCTCACAAGTGGCTGGGATTACAGGCGCCTGCCACCACGCCTGGCTAATTTTGTATTTTATTAGAGATGGAGTTTCACTATATTGGTTAGGCTGGTCTTGAACTCCTGACCTCAGGTAATTCACCCGCCTTGGGCTCCCAAAGTGTTGGGATTACAGGCGTGAGCCACCCACCGCACCTGGCCTGTTCCTAGCTTTTCAACCATCTGGTTCATTCTCATCTAGTATCAGCTCCAAGGGTGCTGTTTCAGGTTTGGGTTTCCAGGAAACAGTTCTCAATTAGAAGATTAGAATGTAGTATGAACGTTGTCCAAATCAAAATGAGGTCACTTGTGTTAAACAACAACAACAACAACAACAAAAACAAACAAACAAACAAAAAAACACCTTAATAAATACATCTAGGGAAGGCCATGAAGAGAGAGTTCTCATGTACAAATGCCTAATAACAAAGGCTATCACAAAAGGCTCTGCAGAAACCACAACCTGGCAGCCGGGCACAGTGGCTCACACCTGTAACCCCAGCACTTTAGGAGGCTGAGGCAGGTGGATCACCTGAGGTTAGGAGTTTGAGACCATCCTGGCCAACATGGCGAAACCTTGTCTTTACTAAAAATCCAAGAACTAGCCAGGCATGGTGGCATATGCCTGTAATTTCAGCTACTCTGGAGGCTGAGACAAGAGAATTGCTTGAACCTAGGAGGCAGAGGTTGCAATAAGCCAAGATCACACCACTATACTCTAGCCAGGGAAATAGAGGGAGACTCTGTCTCAAAAAAAAAAAAAGAAAAAAAGAAAGAAAGAAAAGAAAAGAAAAAAAGAAACCACAACCTTGCATAAAGGCCATTGCAGTCCTACACAAAAAATGTTTCTGTAAAGACATCTGCCCAGCAACTGCCTATCTGACCTCAGACTGGCACCATGCTTGTTATTAATCCTTGTAGCCAAAAGTAATTATCTGAAGCAATCACATAATCCTCTTAATTCTCCTTTAAAAATCTTTATAATTCTTTGCTTCCATGAATATATATATATATACAATTTACCAAAACACATGAATGCTCTATTTCCAAGTAAATACCATTTTCTTTTAGAGAGCCTCTCTCTGTTATTGATATAAATGGTGTCAGAAGTGGGATCAAAGTGAGCTCACTTCAGAAGAATCAGCAGCCCCTAGAATCAAATGTGGTACAACTGAGGACTCTACATTCTCTGCTTCCATGAGTTACTTTTTATGCCCCAGTGAATCTCTTCTCAGATTCTCATCCTCCCTCACTTTGGTGAGTGGTTTATGACTTCATATGGGGTTTGTTTTGGTTGTAAGGCCACCTTAGTAAAGAACCTTATCTCTCTCCTAGAATGATAAGACTTTCTTTTATGACAAGTCCTTTCTGGTATAAAGACAACTACCCTTCTGGTTTGAGTATCCTGGATTCTACATAATTTATATCCTGTGTCTGAGGCATGTATTTCTGGTGAATTCACATGGCCTGCATGCCTAGTTTAATATTTTGTTTGGTCTGCATGCCTGGGTTAAAGTTTTTGTGAACACTCTGATTTTGGTTTCATTTTGGCTTGTTTATGTGCATTTTTAAATGATTTGGCTCTTTCCCCTTGCTTGCTTCTAAAAATATTCTCAGAGTAAGAAAACATTCTAATGGTAGACGAAGATTCTAAAAGCCACTAGGATGGTCACTACCATCTAAAACACCAGTCTACACTCCTGACATTTGCTGACAGGATTAATGGGATTATCTTTGCTCTCAAGAGATTAATAAGAACAAAATGGGATTCTCAAACATGAAGGAATGTTAGGTTTTCTGGGATTTGAGCCACCATTATGGGCCATTTTGGAGCACATTTTTAAACCAATGGGAAAATTATGTTTAAAACATTCACAGCTGAAATGGTCATTCTCAAACTCTTTCAAAAACTTCTAACTATAGAGTTGACATGTAGAGCCTTCTAAGTCCTCTATGATTTTTCCAGCCTACTCTGAATCTGCTGACTTTTCTACTGATGCTGAAATAAAACTCATTGCTTACAGCATTCCAGCCAAGAATAAAAAAGTCTTAAAGGGCTTTCAAATTAATGGCTTGACAAATTACAGCAACC